AAAGGTAAAAGTTATCACTGCATGACATCACAAGGTGGAACAAAGCATTTTGCTTTATTGATGAAGACAGAGTAGCCTCCTAGGACCTGGTGTCCACATCAACACATTTTGTGTTGTTAGTTTTTGCAAATCATTATTCAACTGTGACTTTATTGTTTTCCATCAAAATGATTAAAACATAAAATGAATGTTTTATATATCATATGTGGACATATAAAAATATAAAAAAACATAATTCTTTGTTTTTGCACTCATCAGGTCCAAATAACAAAGAGAAATCAATAAAGCCACAAGAGTTCGGGTCCTAGGATTAATAATAAAGTGTGAATAAAATAGAACAGATACGTTTTGATGAGGTAACAGCTTTATAACACGACTTAAAACTCAAACTGGACCATTAAGTAATCACATAATAGATTATTGTAGTTCACATCCTATAGAGTTAGTGTGGCTCCTGTTTGTCTATTTAAGATGAAGTCAATACATCAGTTTGAAGATTTATTCAAACTATAAATATTTTATCTTCTAATAATTTGATACCAAAACACATGATGTAAATAACAACAGTTTGTAGTTTTTAAAGAGTTGTAGCATTGTTGGTGTGTGTGTGTGTGTGTTTGAGTGTGTGTGTGAGTGCGATAGAGCGGAGCCAGTGGAGCAGACAGAACCAGGTCAGAGCAGAAAAGAGACTGAAGACAGAGCGCTGAGCCTGAGGTCAAAACACAGAGAACACAGAGGGGAGATAATAGAGGAGGAAAGGAGGAGAGGAGGAGAGGAAAGATGGAGAGAGAGAGAGAGAGGGAGTCAGAAGAGGTAGAGACAGGACACCACCAGAACTCAGACTGTCATCCAGTTGAGTAACAAAGCCTGCTTTAGATCCTACAGAAATAATAGTGAAAAATGTGTTGCACAATAGGTCAAAGCTTTGCAAATGTAGTTAGTGTCATGAGGGACTAGGATGTGCTGCTCTCTCCTCCTCCTGCTCCCCCTCTCCTTACGCCTCTGTGTGTCTCCTCTGTGTCTGTTAAAGAGCCCATGTTACACTATTTTATCATCTCTGTTATCATGTTGTTTCCTCATCACAAACAGACCTGGAGTTGTGTTTTGTTTAATTTCCAACTTCTTCTGGAGTTCAGTTTACTTCCCTAATGTCTAAATGAGGACGCTTAGATTTCTACATAAACCTAAAACTAGTGTTGTAGACAAGAGCGCACTAATCGAGACCAACACCAGTCTGAGAGCACAGGGTCCCAAGACCAGGACAAGACCAAGACTTTCAAAGATCGAGACTGAGACAAGACCAAGACCACGGCCCGTCGAGACCAAATCAAGACCATTTTGTCATTTTCTACATTTATTTGTATTTTATATTTATAGTTATTTTGGCACATTTATATCAATGTTTTTATAAATCTATCTCCATTTTATCTGATAAATGTTTACTTAAGATTAAAATAAGCCAAGCAAACTGTTCTGCACTAAAAGACCCTGTGCCCCCTTTTTAGTGAAAGGTGACTCAAGTCACTATTGAGTCACTATTTTTTAGGACTTGAGGCTTGACTTGATAAAATGGACTAAGACTTGGGACTCAACTTGGACTTGAGGCCTGTGACTTGAGAAGACTTGAAGCATTTTTAAATCTGAATTCTTTCTATTCTGACCATAATGATTCACTCTAAGTTCTTATCAAGACAATTAAAAAGGAAATATTAACTAAATTAATTTCTACAACTCTTACATACTCTAGAAATACTCTTATATGAATATACTATGTTTTTTTTAAGTACAATTTATCTTAAAAGTCATATAAACTGCAAAAAACTAAGCTTTATTTGGTATTTTGGTTTAAAGACTTGAAATGACTTAAAGTTCAAAGCAGTCGACTTGGACCTGCCTGCATTTGACTTGGGACTTAACTCGGACTTGAGGTCAGAGACTTGAGACTTACTTGAGGCTTCCAAAACAAAGTCTTGGTCCTACCTCTGCAAGACGGTAAAAAAACAGTTTCAAGGCTGGTCTCGAGACCAAGACCAGTCTCAAGTACTATGACACTACCTAAAACTTCCTTCTTCCTTTGTGCTGGATCATTTTGGCCAGCACTTACTTCACGAGAACGTGCAAAGCGAGTGTTAAGGCGAAGAGAAGGGAGTCGTTTGGAAAAGGCCTCTCCACTGCCAGTTTGTCTGATACTGTCTGCAGTAGAAAGCCTGAAATTCTTGAGCCTTTTAGAAACTCCCAGTCATTTTTTGGTCATTTAAACTTTAAATTCATAGAGTTACACATTCTGATTCTGATTGTTTGTTTCAACAACACAATCAGAATTTGTAATTGGTGAAAAAAAAGTTAATTCTTCTGTGATGAGAGTCAGGACTAAACATGGGGAGTCAGTGTTTCAGTTTTTTGCAGCTAAAACCTGTTTAAATCCAAACTCAAACTGGTTCGGTTTAGTTGTGCATATTTTATTTTTTTTATGATTATTTATGTTTTTTGATTTCTTTGTACAAATTGTGCTATACAAATAAACTTGTCTTGAAAAAAATCAGCTATGAAACTTGAATCTTTCAGCGCGATGTGGATGTGAAACACCTCACCATGTTCTACTCCTGTTACCCTGACAGCTGTGTGTGATGTCTTACCCGCTCCAGAGTGATTTCTTCATACTCGTAGTCTGCTTCTGTTCCATTCACCTGCACACACACAAACACAATTTATAAGAGAAATATAGGCACCTCATTATATATATTTTTATTTCCATTATTATGTTACTTTATTTTACATTAACAATTAACAATTACTCCATTAGTATTCTGTGTTTTCATTTCTTTATTGACAATTACAGAGGCAAGACTCAACGCACGAATGCACGACAACATAAACAATTACTGAGAAAGTCCATCTCTGTCTACTTTCAAACTGCAACTTAAACTGTGGATGAATGAGAACCAAGTCTGTGAACACTTCTAATCTAGACTTTTGCTGTTCTGCATTATGTTTCTGTGTAACTGTAGCAAAAAAAGAAATTCAATTTGTCAACTGGACAAAAGCTTAATTTGGTTGAATATGTTTGGCAGTTCACCCAAGCTGCTGCTTCAGTTTTGGTCAGACACTGGAGGACACTGACTTATATCTGCCTGAAGGGGGCGCTCACGACACTGAAACTACTCTGAAACTAACACACACACTTGTTTACAGTTTCTGTTAGTTTGCTTGGCCTGTTGAACTTGGAGTGTGGGGTCACATTCTATGACAAGTGCAAGTTCACCAGCGTCTGACCAGAACTGAAGCAGCATCTTGGATGAGCTGTGAAACATATTCAACCAAAATAAACTTTTGTCCAGTTGACAAATTGAATTTCTCCTTTTGCCCTGGATTCTACCTGGACGACTGAGGGACTGTGTTTTTGTATTGTGTATTTGTTCTCTGTGTCACCTGCCTATAAGGACAGCAGATGGAAATGATCTTATTTGCTATAATCTGGCATATTTACACTGTAATTACAGATGTTTGTTCATATGCAGCATCCCAATAAATAAACAAATGCAATAAATATGTCACATCTTATTTTTTAAAACCTGTTAATGTCATTTAGACCTCTGCAAACATATTCTAAAAAGCATGTGATTCTTGTATAAGTTTACATTACACATTAATATTTCAGTCTTCTCTCCGTTAAAGGTGCACTGAGTAACTTTTTGGTTGAGGGAATGTTCCACAGTGTGACATTAAACAGCTCTACTTTACATTTATTCAATTACAGGTGATTTTATCGCTGAAAAATACCTAGAAAAACAGGCAATCTGACTGTGAGCCGGGTCGCCTCTCCACAGATCTGACCTGTAACTCGATCTGGTTTGGTCTCCATGGAGATAGAAAGGTTTAATGCCATACTGTGAAACATTCAGGACAAAGCAATAACATCTTGACGAACCCTCCACCAGAAAAGTTACACAGTGCACCTAATGCATCTCAACATGTTTAAAATGACTCCAAAAAAAATCATAATTTAAATTCTTGTCATTAATCGCTATGACGACCGAGTTTCTATATTTGACCAAACGCTCAGACGGGTCGGTGTGTGTTATGAATGACGCGCGTGGATTAGGGTCTTAATGACGGTGTGATGATGTCATTGTGATGTCATACGGCGCGCTGACGTCCCTGAGAGGCTTAGGCTGCCCTTTAACCCCGAGAGAGTTCAATCCAGTCTGCACCCGCCCCACACACACACACGGGGTTTGTCATGAGAACGCATTTTATGACAGAATAATGTGAATAATAATAATAATCCAAGACTCTTCTGAATGAAATGTAATGTAAAAAAAATAAATGAAAGGGCCCATATATTTTCTGATTTATGTTCTAATGTAGTTTCCTCATCACAAACTAGGGGTGTGCAAAAATATCGGAATATCGATATATATCGTATCGTTTAATGTGATGATACAGTATTGATATCGTGGGCTACTGTATCGATATATATCACCAAGAGTATTTTTAGGTGTGTTTTACTAAATTATTTTGTTACAGCTACAGTTTTGTTGCTTGTGGAGTGAAAGGAAACTCATTTATGCGACACATTTGACATTTTCACTGTTTTGAGGATTAAAATGTTTGTGTTTCATATGAACTTTGCACAAGAAGTGGTTTAACAAAGACTTTTGGTATCACAGCCACGATTTAGCCTTTATTTTTTTATTGAACTGTATCGAATCGATTTGAAATATATCATATCAAATCAAAAGTGCACTGTATCGAGGTATGTATCGTATTGTGGTCTGTGTATCGAGGTATGTATCGTATCGGCAACTTCTTAATGATACCAGCCCTATCACAAACAGACCTGGAGTTGTGTTTTGTTTCATTCACACATGTTTAACACACAAATCTGGTATATTTAAGTTGAATTCTTCTCTCAAACTGAAAACCCTGTTCTACCTTGTGATGTCATGTGGTAATACAGGGAGAGCTCCACTGCGTTTTTAAACTCCACACACCTTCACTAGTCAATAAGTTCAGCCTTGAAATTGTCAATCTCTGCTGAACAAAAGGGAAAGGGAGCTGTTAACTTGACTCAACTACCACTTCATGACATCACAAGGTGGAAGAGGATTACTCAAACATGTTTTTGAGCAGATAACAACATTATAACACATATTACAATATCCAGTTACGCAATTTTTTTTTCAGTAGTATTGATACTTGCTTAAAGGGCCCATCTCATGCAAAATAACTCTTTTCACATTGTATCTTCTGCTCATATACAAGCACAATCTGGGTTTTGGAACATCCATGACACAATAGTTATGAAATCTTAGGAACTATGAAAGACCGACTATTGCTCCTGCCCCCCCGTCCTGAGAAAAGCACAAACGTGGCGTAGGCTCTGAGTGAGCCGCCCTTCCTCCGCCCATCTCAGGGAGGGAGGGGGAGACAGACGTGCACCCTGATAGTGGCAGGAATAAACTTTTATTCATCATGGAGATACAGCGCGTTCAGCCGCATGTGTTGGACCCAGAATCGGACGAGGACTTTGAGGAGCACGAAGCTCAAGCACCACGCGTCCACATCAGCTGAACATTACTGATTGGTAAAGTATTAATAAACACTAGTAGATCAACTTATTATATCCTGTTCACTGCAGTGTAGAACAATGAGCTTATCCTGTCGCTTTTGTTTAGGTGTTCATGTGGGAATTGTCAGACGATGTGGGGTGGAGGCGGGGCGGAGGCGGTGGAGCGGGGGAGGGCGGCAGGTGCGAAGCTCTTTCTGCTACGTCAAACGTGTCATAGGTGTATCTGCCGCGTCATCCTTGTAGCAGCTTTAGTTTGTTGTCACGTGGGAGGGTGGCAGAAATACGTTGCAATTTGTTAAAAAAAAACGCCGAATCAATCTAAAAACCACTTCAGCGACATATACATGGCTCACGAATCACTCTTAGAAGGTAGAAACTCTAAAAAGTTGATTTTGCATGAGATGGGCCCTTTAAATTAGTATCTAGTTTTGAGTTCCAGTTTTAGTATCGATCAGTGTCTGATTTTTGAGACTTTAGACAAATCTAGGACGTCCCACACTGACGATGTCTGATCACCAGATCTCAGAAGTGAGACAGGGCTGGGCCTGGTTAATACTTCGGTCGATGGCAGACCACGGGAAGAACCAGGTGACATAGTGAAGTAGCAAGTAGCTCTGACATAGTAAAGGCTCTGAGCAAACACTTTACATAACTTGCTTATGTATGTGGTGTGTGCGTGCAGAGCTGTAGTTTGCTTGCCATCCGGACGCCCTACAAACAGATGCATGTGTCTCACCCCATGCCAGCGAAAGTGAGGGTCGGAAACGCCTGTGACGAATGACCCTGGTCCTATGGGGTAGCAAGCACTTGGTGCCCTACGCACTACAATACTGTGTGTGTGAATGTTGGTGGGGTAGTCGAAGGAGCTGATGGCGCAAACTGGCAGCCTTGTGTCTGTCCCAGCGTAACTGTGGCTATAATAGTATTTAACCACCACTGTGTGTGGAGTGAGAGAATAATGCACAAAATTGGAGACAACTGCTCGATCACCATTTCTATCACTATGGATGGTACAAGATCTCGTGCCACAAGATCTCGTGTGACAAAGTTGCCACAAGATCATGCACATGTGAGAAAAAATGATTGCGTGAGATTTTTGTTTACAGTGTTTACATTTGGATTGGACAATAAAACTTGACATCAGTGTCTTACAGTTCCGAAAAGCTGTGCAGGAATGGAAACAAAAATATGAAATCAAATAAAATAAAAAATTTGAGGGCAAAATTGGAAACTGTATCGTGAAATGTATATACTAGGAACTATGTTAAAATCTCATCTTGTCTCATTCTCTTGGACTCCATCTTGTATCTCATCTCGTCTTAATTGCGTCTCATCCAATCTCCATCTATTACTATTAGTTACTTTGTATAATAAGTTCCTCAACAGCTCAAATTGTTGATGTACAACAAGAAATAAAAGAACATAGTGCAAAGAAAAATTATACATGATAAATAATAAACATTGAGCCCCACAATACAGTTTGATCAGCAGAACTATTAACTAAAACTGCAATTAACTGAATTTTGATCAAGATTTAGATTTGCGTGTCAAACGATCTCCAAACTCATATAATCGAGTTGAAACGATTTATGTGCCGGCGAAATTCAGGACCAGGGGGCGACATCATCGGCAGTGCGGAACATAGAACCTTACGCAGTCGTGCTTGAGCGCAGCACGGATCTAAAGTCCTAGTGTGAGTGCCCCCTAAAGCTTATTAAAGTTTATTTTGGGATATTTTTAATATAAATAAGTATATTTATTATTTTTTTTAATATAGAGATTGTAGAACAGCTGCATATATGGTTTATTTTGGATACATTTATGTTTTTCTATGACTCATTTCATGTTGAAAGTATATTTTATTCTTTTTATGTTTTATACATGGCAAAACTGCAAAAGGTAGATAGTTGTAGCCTATATTTTTAATTTGAAAGTTTTGTGTAAATTATCAAAAACAAAGTGGGTTTTTTGTTTGTTTTTTTGAGAGAGAGAAGAATAAATGAATCATGCAACTAATAAAATAATTGTTTGAATAATTATGATTTTAATATTGATGAAAATAATCGCAATAATGATTTTTTCCATAATCGAGCAGCTCTACTATGAACTATTTAC